TTCCCCTCCAACTTTTTGCATTAGCAGATGGGGATAAGATGTTGGAGGACTCGATCGCCTTACGGTCTTAGTGCAGGGTTTTAAAGTCCTTAACTGTGATAGGATCTCTCTTAGATGAAAAGAATTCGATGGCATATGAGAATTTATTTATTCGGGCCCCAATTGTCTTCCAACATGTATTAGTTTGTTTTTGTAAATGGTGAAAACAGATGACTTTTAACTTTGGGTGCCTCATTGATCTCGCTGTCAATCGAGAGCCCTAGAACGGGGTTATCGTGGCAATACAGATTAAATTGAAATTAAACTAACTACTTGGTATAGAAGATCTCCCAACCGCATCCGCTCTAGCTCGAGACTGTCCGTACTCCTTACAAAGAAAGCGTCTGTTGGGCAAAAAAAATATGTTCATAAATGAGAGGAATTGAGAAAGGGGAAAAAAAAAGAGAGAGAACATAGGGATTGGATTTTCTAGGCATGAGTGACATAATAAAACCTAGACATAAGTGCGATCATATCAATACTAATGCATCGGATCCTATCAGAACTTTAAACCTAATAATTAGTTCCTATCAAAACTCAGAAACTAATAGCTAGTTTGGGACATAAGATTTGAGCAGAAAAGAAAAAAAGGGAAGAGAAAGATAGATGTTTCCAATGTTTGGGAGATTTATAGCTAGTTTGGAAGAGCAGATTTGGTGAGAAAAGAAAAGATTACAAAGGAAAGTTGAATCTTTCTCACATTTGGGACTTTGGATAGGAAAGAATTGAAAAGAAACGGAAGGATGTCAGCTCCCTTCCACGTCAGAAAAACTTTCTGCCCAAAATCGGCGGAAAACGTGAGAAAGTGGAGTGAGTTAAATGAATTATACCATATGTCATTTTTACCCTTAAAAGATTAAAATATAACTATATAACCTAATAAAATTCTCATGGTATCTTAAGATTTAAGGGTTTTTACGTAAAATTGAATCTTGTCTTTTCAATTCTCTCCCTTCCAAACAAAGGAAAGTTATTTCATCTCCTTTCTTCTCCAAAACTCCCAAATAACATGAAAAGATATTATAATCTTTTCTTTTCTTTTCTAACTTAAGGTTTCTGTTCTTTTCTTTTCTTTCCTAAACTCCCAAACTAGCTATTAGTGAAATAGAAAAGAAAAGAAAGCAACTGATTTGAAAAAAAATACACCGTTAAAAAAATTTTCCATCCCAAATTGGGCAGAAAGCAAAGGAAAGTTGAGGAGGGTCTACAAAAAATTTAAAAATTATCCATTCTATCTTATCCTTAAAAAGTTATTGAATAAAATTTTTATTAACCAATATATCCAAAATAATTTCTTTCCTTTCATAAACTTCCAAACAACATTAAAATCTCCTCATTTCTTTTCTCTCATAACTTAACTTCTCTTCTTTTCTTTTCTATCCTCAACTCCCAAACTAGCTATAAGTGTGCTTGTGCTTGGACTTGTGAAACTAAAAATTGGTTCTCATTTGTCTTTCATCTATTACGGGCTTCCTAATCTTCTTCCCTTTCAAGAGAGAGAAAAAAAATGTGAAAATACATGTTTGTCTTCTGCAAGATAACGGAAATCAATAATCAATGGAGCTGAAGGATTAACAATTTGCCGAAAAAAATTGATGTTTAATTATTAACCATAGGACCCTGAAATCCGAGTACTTGTCTACCTGATTGCCACGACACACTGAAGTCAGCAAAACACTGCAGAGGCAGGACTGAGGAGAGGATGGGGGTTTGCTTGGTAGAAATAAATAACAACCGTTAATTCTTGTAACTGGCGACTGCCTGGTTCCTAGGATCCCATCATCGTCTACCTTTACACATGCTGCAAGGGCAAGTCTTGTTCTAGTTCTGGTTGAGCTTGGCAGAAAGATAGAGAGGAAGTACGAGATAGAAACATAACCAATCATCATGGCCTCATCTTTAATCTGGGCTTCACTGGACCCATCTGCCATCAAGCCAAGATCACTTTTTCCTTCTAAAGTTCCATCTCTACCTTCCAAACAGTTTCAGCAATCAGAAGCAGTAGTTGGTTTTAGGAATAATAGAGTAAAAGAAGCTGCTGCGGCTTCCATCAGAAAAGTTCAACTAGTTTCTTTCGCTGCCTCTGCTGCCCTCTTGCTATGCTCCAGTCCCGGTAATTGACTAAGCACCTTATCATCTCAGTGTATTTTGGTGGTTGCTTCTGAAATGTTTTTATTTTCTGAATTCTTGTAGTAATTACTAGTGCTAATCAGTAATGAAATACGCATTTACAGATTTGATACGAGGTGTTATTTTTGGGTAAAATATCTGAATCCCTTTTTTTTTTTCCTTTGGGGTAGCTAATGCTGGATTTTTCTCGGGCTTCTCTGGGATAGAGTCAGTTCCTGGTCCTGAGTTACCTCAGATTGACTTTCTGTCACGCTGGAATGGTATGTTAGCAACTGAATTATATAATTCTGCTGATCTCTCCTTAAAATTTGTTAACTCAGAAATGATACATGTTGCCGGCTTTTAGGGTTAAATCTGGGATTAGGTTTAATTAACTAACGTCAAAAGTCTAAGGAAAAAAAAAGAAATGATACATGTTGGAATTTTCAGAAGAAAACCAGAAGAAGTATGCTGAAGCTGATGCAAAATTCAAGGAGTCCCCCCTGCTCAAAAAGTTGCTTGAGCAAACTAGGTTAAACAAAGAGAAGTACGTTTTTCCTTCTCTAACTATTCATAGTCTTGTAGGAAGAGTTGCCATTCAACGCCCTGGGCGTCAGAAAAGTGAATTGAGCTTTTTATGACTTTCCTTGCTATATATCTATCAAAGTGGAGTCAAATTGATCATCTTGATCAGATTTGGAGGCTTTGCATAAACTATTTGTTCTTAAAATGTCTTGATAACCTGCTTATTTAACAGAAAAAAAAAAATGAAAGATGAGAAGTAATTAGAATTTGGGCTTACCAGGGACCAGACGTCAAGATGCAGTGACATTTTATTTGTGACTTTGCCTGCCTTTCTTTACTTGTTCCAAGTAATTGACTGTTAGTTCGTACGTCTATTAATGTGGAGGCTGTGTTGTAAAAAATATGAGCTCCAGAACAAAATATGACAACTACTTTCCCCAAGACAAACAACTTGCCACCGCTTACAGTATATTCATTCATGTGCACCTTCAGAAATCGACAAGCTACTTTAGACAAGTATTGCATCCGAGGAGCTGAATGGGGTGTAGGAGATTGTTCAGCGGATGGAATGTCACCTCAAGACAGGGATAACTTCATCTCCATGCTGAAGAAAAAGGCTGGGATAGAAGAATGAAGAAAGGAGCCAGAGAGACCTTCTGGTTCGATCAAGTCTGTAAGAAGATTTATAATCAGGTACGTACGTTAACCTACCTGGGACGGTACGTACCTTTTTCTTGGATCAGATGTGGTCCTGATGGCAAAAAACACTGTCTTGATTCCTAGTAGTAACAATTGCTTTGCATGTTTTGACACATTTGATATCTCCTTTGCTCTTTCCTGAAGGTAAACAATGATGTTAGGATCGAAAGCGGGCTGGTAAGTTCAATAATTGAGCAGCATGAAGATCCACTTGGTTAGAGACTTAGAGCTAGAGGAGAGCAATAAATAGAGAAGCCCATGAGCTCCTCCTATCTTAAAATGAAGATTAGATTCTGGAACCTGAAAAATGCTGATAAAGCAATCTTTAGGCAGACAGATGGTGGTTGCAGAGTCATTAGTGGTGGTGAATTGGCTCTACTTTCTAATCCTTAATTAGTACATCAACTAGATTTCTTCCTTTGATTCAGGTGCTTGTGCTTGCAGCACGTTATGCTTCTGGAGCCAGGTTGTTGTCGTAAGAGATCCTTCATACTTCATTTTTCAAAGCCCAATGCACATGACAGTAAGAATGAGATTTTTGTTTCTGTCCTAATTAATATGATATTTGGCTTTTTATTTTCTTTTTTTAAAAAAAAAAAAAAAAAACAGATTTTAGAAAAGGTATGCAAAAGAAACTACTACTAGTTTTCGATCTGGAGACTGGAACACAAGGGCTCAGATTGTATACGTCTTCATGATGAAGTTTAATAATGCTTCAAGAAACTTCTTTATTAGTCGTAAAATGTATTATCTACGAGTAGTTTCTCTTGAAACTAGTAAGAAAAAAATGCTCACCTGTGGTCATGGATCAAGCTGCATTCTCCCTGAGTGCAGTTTCTTTACCTTTTATCAGAACATGATACAAACAGATGTTGCTAAATGCTAATGCACATTTAGCAAATGACGTATTCATCATTGGCTTCACTACTAAAATATATATCCTTTTTATAATAGTAGTTGATTGCGGCATTGAAAACTTATAGTTTTATACCACATGCAGTAGAAAACTTAATATAGTATTAGACTGTCTATCATTTTTCTTTTTCTTTTTTTGGCTAGTTTAGGTAGACAATATATTTCGAGCTAAAAGATAAATCAAAGTACTTGATACTCGAATCGAGTTCGGATCGATAAGAACTCCTTCAACCTTGGTGGTTCGCCAGCTAGTTGAGTCGAATTTGAACAGTATTTTATATTCAATAACATTCAAATTCGATAAAAAAAAAAAAAAAAAAACTCGTTCAACCTCAGTTCGATAGATAAACAAGTTAAGTTTGAACAAAATTTCAAATTCGTTAAAATAATCAAACAAATTTGAACATTAAAGTGTTCGACTTGATTATATTCGTTTACCCTAACTTGTTTGGAATGTGCTTTTCGATGAAAAATTTTTACGTTTTTCGTAAATACATTTTTCAATCATTTTTTTACCTCATCAAATCGTCACAATATTTTTTTAAATTACAAAAACTCTTAAAATTAACAATCCAAACAAACAGAATTATTGGTTGAAAGAATCCGTGGTTCAACGGGATCTCTTGCTTTATAAGGACGGCACCAAACAATATATTGAATTTGCAAAGGGCAAAATCGTTGTCTAAAGCCAAAAAATTGTCAGATAGTACTTAGAATTTTGTCCGCACCGTCTATGACTGAAGGAAGGATGGGACGAGAAATCTGTTCTTCTGTGTCCCTAAAGGCGTGAATGTGTCAACGAGTCTTCAACTCTTCCTAAACCACAGAAAAAAATTACAAAATCCAACCGTAATCATTTAACCCCAAAAGCAGGAAGAAAAAATGGGAAAAGAAAAGAAAATTTCCGTAAGATCCCGCAGGCGCAGCAGCCAAAACAACAGATAACGGTACTGCCCAGCCTCAACCTTCTCAACGTCTTCAGCTTGTCCAACTGAGCTCCGTTTCGTCACCCGACCCGCCCCGACCTCATCAGGTAAACTTTTAAAAGATTTCCGAAATATTTAATTATATTATTGTTTTCTGCTATTTCTCTCAATCATGCAAGTCAATTGCCTCGCTTCCCAAATCTGAAGTCCATATTATTCAGGTACATAAGCAAATCATTGTTATTAACATGCTTCCCTGTCATATGTTTGACAATTTTACGGAGAACAAGGTAAATTTCTTGTTTGCAGAAACCTTAAATTTGATTTCATTCATATAAAGTCTCCAATAGAGGTTTACACGCATGAAATTACTAGTCGATGCCTGCATTATTTTGTTCAATCCTAATTAAGCTAAGGATTTTTTTTAATATTCTTTTGCGTTTTTCAGGCCCATTGATTAATCAGTTACTTTAAGATTTTTTTTTTTTGCATGAAAGTTTCAATCTTTATGTTGATGTTGTTGTTGGTATACCTATATGTATGAGGTCAAGTACGTTTATTAGATGGTAAAAGATTAGTTTAATTTTGATGTATAGCTTCTCTTATTTCCTGGTTTTTGCAGGAGGATCTTTTTTTCTCCTGGTGAAAATTCATGTGGGAATTTTGAAGCTTCCTTATGTGTTTTGTGTGTTGGTGAGAATTTAGGTGTAACTTGTGGGATACAAAAGGAAGAAGTTTGTTGGGGAGCTGTAAAGTATGTATAGGCCTGGGGCTGCAACCCCAAATCGTGGTGGACTGCCTATGGATAGTGGAGATTCTGTGGTGACATTGGATCAAGTTCCCCGTTGGAGTGATGGGGAGTATAGATATGCATATGAGAATGAAGATGGGCCTTTTCCAAATTCTTATTTTGCTGACCCTTTGACATCTGCATCTGAGGCTGGGAGTAGTGGAAATGGAATGGTTTCTAGGTTTCCTGTCGATCATGAAATTAACTCAAAGATATATTTGTGGAGAGGGAATCCTTGGAATCTTGAGGTGGATGCAGTTGTAAACTCGACTAACGAGGTAAACTTTGATTACTTGCCCAGGTACTTTTTCTGTGGCACGATGAATGATTCCTATCATTGTGTTATGATAAAAGATTTTTGGTGCATATTGCTTTGTATGATCTATCAATTAAAGGATGGAAAAAACACTGTTCATTCTCATCATATAGGGACCAGGAAATTATCAATCCAATTTTTAGGTTTGAGTCCTGGCTTTTTTTTGTACCTAAAGCATATTGTGAATGTCTCCTTCATTTTCCAGCTTTATTAATCCTTTATCTGATCGAAAATGTTGCACTCGCTTGTTTCTGTTTTTGTTGCTGAAGTTTGAATTGGGTTTTGGAAATTTAATTTTCTCACATAAATAAATTTTGGAAATTTGTTGTCTCTTACTATTAGCTTGTGTATAAATTTTGCTGGTTTCTTTTTACTAGATGTTGCAAGAATGGATATTCTTCTGGGTACTATTGCCATGGCTTTTGCATTGTTGTTGGAGTTTCTGTTAACGAGATCTTTGACCCCACACATGCTGTTGAATTCATACCTGCCAAAACTCATAACACGTATATTAATTTACAAAGTAATGATTCAAGATACATCTTGGACTCATGTATCCATCATTCAAGTAAAACCTTGGGCAATGTGATTTTGTTTCCTCTGGAATGGATACCCAAGGCTATTCTGCTGCTGTAACCTGGGGAGTGCGAATCCATTATTGCTCTTGTCATGTTATATTGCATCAAAGAAGATGTGAAAATTATTCATTGCAACATTTGAGAGTAACTACTTAAGCACATTACTATGGTTATGTTGCATCTGACATCATGTGCTCATATGTGGTTGGCAGAACTTGGATGAAGCACATAGCAGCCCAGGGTTGCATGCTGCAGCTGGACCTGGTCTTGCAGAAGAATGTGCAACTTTGGTGAGTTTTACTTGTATACATGTCTCTGTGTGCATTAATTTTTTGTGCTGCATAAGCATGTTATTGGTTCTTTTTGATGGTCTATTATGCAGATCTTTTAGTACAAATTTTTTTCATTTTTTGTAAATAAATTTATCTGCCTCATTCTAGGGTGGCTGTCGAACAGGAATGGCAAAAGTTACCAATGCATACGATCTTCCTGCAAGGTGGGGTTATCAGTTGTTTCACTAGAACAAATCAATGTACTTCTGTATAGCTGCAAAGAGGAAAGCCTTGTGCCACTAATGCTTCAGTCGCTAATTGTTTTTATTGTGACACTTCACAGGAGGATTATACATACTGTTGGTCCCAAGTATGCAGTAAAGTATCACACTGCTGCAGAGAATGCGCTGAGTCACTGCTACAGGTCTTGTCTTGAACTTCTCATTGAAAATGGACTGCAAAGGTTGGTAGCATAGTTATTTTCACTTTCTTTTCTAGCTTATCTATTGGGTGTTATTCATTTATGTGGAACTTATCTATCTGCATTAAAATGTGAGTGCAGTATTGCTGTGGGCTGTATATATACAGAAGCCAAAAATTATCCACGAGAACCAGCTGCACATGTTGCAATAAGTAAGATACTTTTTACACCATTCAGATTTCATTATTCAGGCATTTTAATACCTTAAGTGCAGAGATTTTCTTGGAGTGGCATTTGAATCACATGCGTGGAATACCCCATGTTTTAAGAGTTCTATCCTCATTCCTCAGCAGCTGGAAAACAAATGAAATTAATAAATTTGTTTACGGATCGTATTACTGAATTTGCTTGACGTCAGGGTGATTGGGATGAACTTATTACTGTTCCTTCAATTTTTTGTTTGCTTTTTTCATTAGGAACTGTGAGACGGTTTCTTGAGAAGCAGAAAGATAAAATCAACGCCGTTGTATTCTGTACAGCTACATCAACTGATACTGAGATATATAAAAGGTATTCTTAGAGACCTGTCTTTAGATAGTGTTGTTACTAACTTTGTTGACATTGTGTAATGCAGTGTACTGGCAATGCTTGCTGTGGTCAATTGGCATGTCCTATTCATGTTCCGAATATTGGGAATTTTAAACCCTTCTACCATTTGCACGCAGATTGCTTCCACTTTATTTTCCACGTGACAAACAGGAAGAGGAGATAGCTATTTCAAAACTACCTGCAGATGTTGGCGATGAAAATGGTGAGACAGTTATAGATGAGCGAAAAATCAGAATAAAGTCTCTGCCCAATGTGAAGAAGAGTATTCCAAAACCTCCACAACCTTCCAATGATCTCCCTGTCAGTGATCTTGGGTTGACAAGGAGGTTGGCTTACTATGTCATTCTTCTTCTTCTCCTTGCTCTTCTTTTTCTTTACTTTTTCCCCCCATGTCAGTCTCTAAGCTAAGATGAGCTCAATGAACATCTTGTGCTGGCAGGATAATACTGTATTTGCATTTTGAATTTTCTCACTCCTGGTACCTTGGTGTGGATGCTGCATTTATCTGTCTTATCTAATACTCCTTTTTGCTGTTCCTTCAATAGGAGTTCTTCATATTTGGATTCATACTTGGATCCTGCCTTTATGTCGTTGATAAAGGACCCAGACCAGCGACGTAAAGAACAGTGGGAAAAAACTGCTCAAGCTCAGAGTGGTTGGAACTGTTGTAAAATGCTTGGATATGGTGACCTCGGGGGACCTCCTTTATCTGCTGCAGAAGAATATTCTCTCCATTCCCGATACCTTGCAAAAGCAAATTCTCTCAATCTTTCTGAAATTGCAGAAATGAAAATTGTGTAAGCAATTATTGGCTTTTGTTGGGGGTGTTAACAGTCCATTCACTTTTTCCATCACTTTCGTATTGTCATTATTGCATTCAGTTCATTTTTGTATAGTCTTCTAGAGTGCCTCATGTTCCACAAAGTCCCATTCATGCTGGTAATGGATCCTAATGCCTTTGGTACATACCAAGATTTGCTGTTGAAGTTTGTTTCATTTAAAGTAATGGAGGCATTTGACTGCAAACTACATGATATTTCTTCTTTTTACCCCTTTTGGTTCGTACCATTTACCAAGTCTCACAATGTTCGTCTTTCAACAAATATTAATCACACACACACCCGGAAAGTCTCACAATGCTCATCTTGCTGTAGTCTTTTGTGAAGCTGTTTCTTTTTTATTTTTAGTGTTTTGCTTTCTTCCTTTTCTCCCATTTCGCATTTCATACTTTCTAATATACAGATTGAAAGTGTCATTTCATACTTTCATATGTTAGTGACTCTGTCTCAGCATTGGTTTTGTGTGTGTGTGTGAGAGAGAGAGAGAGAGAGAGAGAGAGAGATAAACCACTGTTGTGCTTGCCACTATTGATCAACTTTATGGGAAAATGGACTTGAGTTCTGCTATTGGAGTGGGTTATTGCGATAATTGCAAACTGACATCTGATTTATTGCTTATATTTCAGCTATCGAGGTGGGGTTGATAGTGAGGGTAGACCAGTTATGGTCATTGTGGGTGCACATTTCCTTTTACGCTGTCTTGATCTAGAGCGTTTTATACTTTATGTGGTTAAGGTAAATAATTATTGCTTGCTTTCTTCATTATATTTTCCTCAGGTATATGATAAATTAACTCCTGCATCATGTTTGCAATATGACTCACTGTTCCTGGGTATTTGATCCTTCTGGACTTTTCAAATGTAATATTTCCAAATTTCTAGTAATAACTTGACTGTAAGAGAATTTATATGCATTTCAGGAGTTTGAGCCCTTGATACAGAAGCCTTACTCCATTGTTTACTTCCATTCTGCTGCATCTTTACAAGCGTGAGTATTCCTTTATCAACCTGTCATCAACTTAGTTGATCTTCTTTCTGTTGACTTGTGCAAGTGGGTAAAATGTCTTTAAGAAAACAAAAAGAACGTGTTTATGAGTCCTTATTGTACTTTAGCAGTGTGTACTTTGCATCAAGGCACTAGTACACCTTAGAGAAAGATGCAAAAGTCTGTTTTCAAGGGGCCTAGCTTGTTGCTGAATTTGGCCCATTTCAATGTTGTCCAGTTAGAGGTACAACGTATGCTCGAATTTTATTTTATTTTATTTATTGAAGCTTAGATACCCAACTGGAAACGAGTAAGACTACAGTGTCAAAACAAAAAGTTGGAAGTTTTATGATGGTTGAGTTAGTAGGTTTTACATGAAATGCACCCGCTCAAACTGGCTTGTGGTTTCTCACATGTGGAACTGTATTATTGTACAAATAGGCAACCAGACCTGGGATGGATGAGAAGACTACAGCAAATACTTGGTCGAAAACACCAGCGTAATCTTCATGTATGTGTTGTTCCCCTCTTGGCATTTTCGTTTGAGCAGCCACCATAGGTGATATTTACTGTTCTCTTATCCATGAGAAGACATTTGGTTTGAAATTTTCATTTTGCAGGCTATATATGTCCTACACCCCACCTTTGGCTTGAAAGCAGCTATTTTCGCAATGCAATTATTTGTTGATAATGTGGTATGTATTACTAAGAACTGATGCTCTTTATACCCCATCCCACTAGCCCAGGAACAAGGACTAATCAATCTGGTATCTACTCTATTATTCTTTCTTCAATAATTGGTTATTTTTATTCCGCTTGCTTGCTCAGTTTCTTTAAGGATGTATACTCCATGATGGCCCTAGTTAGCTATTATAACGAAGTGGGTCTCTCAAGGTTGAGTGTGAAAGCTTTTTCATTGTAGTTATTGAGGAAATATGTCATCAAAAGGAGCTAAATCCTCAGCTCCTCGATCTTGTTTTGTAACATTAGAGAGCTGATTACTCTGCGGAAATCATCTCAGGTGTGGAAAAAGGTGGTATATGTAGATCGGCTTCTTCAGCTATTTAGATATGTCCCCCGAGAGCAGCTTACAATTCCGGATTTTGTGTTCCAGTTGAGTTTTGATACCCTTTTGATATCTTGTTCATTGTTTTCATGAAGTTGGGATAGGTGCTAGAGAAGCAAGTGATTTTTATCACGGAGGCATTCCATTAGTCATTTCCCCTCTTTTAGTGGCCATGCTTTATAGTTTTATCAGAGGCAAAAGTTTTCAGCCTTTCTTTTAACTTTTCAATCACTTTGCTGATGCAGGCACGATCTAGAAGTGAATGGTGGGAAGGGCGTCATTGTCGATCCACGCACCAAATATGTATATCAGCGTCCATGAGCATTGTACTTGCACACTTCCGTCATATACAGTTTTTGATCAAGTGTCCAGAAAGTCTGTGAATCTGTATTCTTTTTCATTTTTTCAGATTTTGAGTGTACCTTTTTTTTTTTTGTTTCAAATTCACTTCTTGTCCCATATCCATGTATTTATCCTTTTTGAGAAAATTGAGAGTTCTTTGTGTATGCAAACACTGACAATTTTTCTTGTCGTGTTGTAATTTGATATTCTGTGGATACCACATTTGTAAAAACGCTCAATTTGCCCCCTTGGAAGTTTGCCTTTCATCCTGCCTGGTTTTGGGCCACTTCTGCTGCTGCTACTCAAAAGAGTTTTTCTGCTTGTATGTTTGTAGCGAGTCCTTCTCAAAACATCCAATTCCAAATCCATCGTACCATTGAATATGCAGACTCGGAAAAATCTAAAATGGGGTGGTCAAAATACGCTTAAATCGCTCGTGAATTCACACCGTCCAATAATCAACCCACGCTAGAAGCACTTGGCCAGAAATTTATATCTGCCTAACTGCCTTTTGTTATTGAGAAGATGACCAAGGAAGGCTTTAGTTACTTACTTGCAAAAATTTATCTGCCTGTGTCGTTAATATATTTTTCACTCATCATTTAATTGCTATCGAAACATGTCCACAATTTCTTAAAATACGCTCACCTCTATCCATTCTACATGCACAGCCAATCTTATCTAGTGGAACGCTTTTACCTGAATTTGAACTTTTATTCTAGAATTGTAAAAGTTTATTTTGAAAAGGGTGAATATTATTATTGATACTTTTATTGTCATTCTTCCTATTCTTGCTAACAGAAATGGTCATACATATATAAGGGAAAGTGGCAAAAAACGATCGTAAGTGTAAAAAGTAATTTTGTTTATGTGGTATAACAACACTTGTAATTCACTGCTGTACAAGTAGTTAACAATAAATTATAATTTATTAACAATATGGTAACACCGTTTATTAAATAATCGCAGTAACAATAATCTTTTACCCATAAATCTAATCCTATTGCCCATCTTTGCAGTGTACGGGGTGTCTAAATAATGAGCAGGGGGTATCTTTTAGCCTGTTAGCCTTTTAGGGTGAATTAATTAACTAAACAATAATTGGAGTGTCAATAACAAATTTTACAACTGCCAATAGCCATGTCCTCCACAATTTCACTTTGCACTTTGCCAATAGTCATTTTCACTTTGCACCTCTTGTAGGCACAATTGTTTTGAATCTTTAACACTAGAGTTTTCAAATATCCTAAATCACCCCTATTCTACTATCACTATCAAATGTATTAATCTACGGAGGGTAAAAAGAAAAAAAAATCATTTTTTTCTGGGACTCTGATAACTGAAGTGTATTTGTTCATGACTTTTTAAATCCAATATGTTTCGAGTATCGAAGAAAGTCCCAGAAAGAGAAATATCAAAGTGAACTTGAAAAGGGCTGCATTCATTTACGACTTTGCTCAATTATCAATTAAGGTAAGGCCCAACACAGAAGCTATATTTTGTTTCTTTCTTGTCTTGTGTTTTTGCTGGATCAGCTGTGAATTTTTGTGTTTTTGGTTTGGTGAATTTCTGCTTCATTTTACTTCGGGGGTTCTCTTGGGCCAGATTACTGATAATGATTTCAGCAAGTGTTCAATATAGTTGTAGAAAATTATGGTGGACAGATGAATTAAATGAAATGCGTACAAATTACCCCAAAAAAAACATGATTTTTAAGTGCTTTTTTTTTGGCGATATCTTTTATGTAATATTTATGGAGGGAAGACTAACAAAAGGGCCGTATTTGTGTAGCTGCTGTGTGTTTACTTTTTCAAGCAATGGTGCAAAGTATGCCGGCAAACACCTTGGCTACCTCCAGATATGGTGGTTGTTTTGGTTCCTTCCCTGTTTGGAGGAAACCTTTTGGGCTAATGAAAGAATCCCAGATGAGTTTTGGTGTTGAAAAACAGAATCTTTGGCATCATTTCAGCCAAAGCTTACTGTTTATTGGTCAGTCAGACTTAGGAGGGTGCCGAAATGTGAGGGTTAATGTTGGGTGGCCGTTTAAAGGAAATAATCAGGGGCTGAATGCAGCTTCTGAGCGTAGTGATAGCGCCAATGAGGATATATTGATGTTCTTTTTCCAACTGGACTTGGCAACTCGAGTACAGGTTTTTAACGCCTCTTTTCTCCAGCTGATATTTATAGTTCATTTATTGTACTCCCATCTGACTAAGAAAAATTGCACAAATGAATTTCTTGTTGTATGTATCTGCAGTATGCTTTGAACTTGGAGCAGTATGACATTGCGAAACAATTGAGAGACAAGCTTAATGAGGTAAATTTTACATCTCTGCTGTTGACTTCTTCTTGGATTGCAAACAAGGACGTCACAACTTTGCAACACCTAATTATGGAATTTAATACTGTGAAAGCAAGTTCTCTTGCCAGTGTACCTGATTCCTGCAGGCTGCAACCATTACAACAGTGAAAGGGAAAAAAAGAAAATCTTTAGTGCAAGCATTTCTTTTGACCATGTATGAATTTGAAAATTGGTGTGGTAACTGAAACCTCTGCATCTCCATCTGATTTTCTGAAGGTTGAAGAAGAGGTCATCAGACAGCAAGAAACAAGAAAGGGTACAACCTCAAAAAGTGAAGTTCAAGACATGGCTATAAGCATCTTACGCCTAAAGTGCGTCTCTTATAGTGTTTCCCTGTTATAGGCTTATGCTTTTCATAACTGCGCCTTCAAGTCCAGTTATGAATCTTGTGCTTTGCCTTCCTAATTTGCTAATTTCTAATATTCTTTATTTCATATGTCAATCTGTCTCTCTTGTTCCTCCAGAGCAGATCTGCAGAATGCAATTGAAAGTGAAAACTACAGTTTGGCAGCTGAATTAAGAGATGAAATTTCAAAATTTGAGTCAGAGTCCTTAGCTGCATCGGTGAAAGCGCAAGCATATCAGAATGCTCAGTATGCATTTCGTTTGGGGCAGAAAGTCAGGCATAAGACATTTGGTAAAAATGTGACCTGGCTTTTTTATTCATTTCATTCTTTCTTCCTTAGATATTTGACAATCTCAAGAAATCGATATCACTCTCTTCATCTTATCAGCAACTTCAACAAAATGCTGGGTTTTGATGACACAACACATTCCAAAAAGCAGACGGTTTAGTTCAGGAGCAAACTATCATAGGTTATCCACCAGCGAGATGGCTTTACAAAATATCAGGATGTAGAGACAAATTTATCTAATTTCTCTACTTGATATAGCTAAAAAATTATTATAATGATATGTATTCATGTCAGCCTAATACAGTATCTTGTAGCATAATTTGTCCAAAAACTTTTGTCAACTAAAGCAGGGAGCTAGGCTGGACTATTGATAAGTGTGGAGAAAACATGTTGACATGGTAAACAAGACGATAGGGTGATGCATTTGGTGGGGGAGTGTGTAGTAATTGTCTTTTATGCTAGTTGTAAGCTATATCGAACTGGGAATTAAATTTTCTGTTTGGCATGAAGGAAAAAATGCACGTGTTTAGCTTCTCAGGAATCTGTGGTTCATTTGGTTTTAGATGGGAAATTGATCTTTTCTGTTTTGAACCTGCTTTACAAATGACAGAATATCGAGCAGTAATCTGTGGTATGGATCCAGTCTGCTGTGAAACAAAATCATGGATGGAGACCGCAAATGTTTATAAGTTGACTCGTGGTCCAGATCAACCATTTTACCAGGTTTTACAATTGATTGGACTTTTAGCTGTATAGCATGCTGTGGGAAATTTCTACAGAATACTTTCTTCTTCCACCGGAGGTTGCCATATCTTTTTTCTCACATCCTAACTGACTATGTTGTTGAAAAACATGAGATTTTCTGAATGTAGTTTTATTAATGGCTCATGGGGATATCTTTCTCATTCCAAGAGTTGAGAAACTTGTACCTGATAATCAGAAAAGTTCCCTTATTGAAGAAACGTGGCAGAGTTCTTTTATCATATTAAATGGCACACAAAGATCAGAGTTCTAGTTGATTTGGCAGTCTTTATTTGTGTATGATAGCAAGATTTGCTTTTACGAACATGAGATTTTCTATTCAAGCTCGTCTATTGTTCCACAGGTTTTGGTTGATGTGTACATGGACCCCAATCTGTTAGTTGCATATGGTAAGTTCTCATCCCTGACGGTTGACTTTTTTCCTGTTTATCGTTCAACAAAATCTTACTAGTCCACTTCTTAGGTTTCTATCTCTTTTATGTCCAATTTCTGTTTCTCTAATTGATTTTGCATATTTTGTCTTATTCTGCAGTTCCGGAGGAGAATTTATGTGCTCCAGATAAACCAGACATGGTGAGGATAATAATCACCTCCTAATAAAAGAGGGTTATGTTCATCTTGTAACTTGCTTTGATAAAATCCTGCTTGCCTATGTGTAGGAAAGATTTGACCATCCCTATGCGTCGTTCTTGTTTTATGGGACGGATGCTGCTGGAGACTTCATCCCAATCAAGCAGCTGAGGGAAAAATGCAACAGGCCACGGCATGAGATTCCCTATGATCCGGACAATGAGCAGAATGGAGATGACATCTGAATGGCATAGTGCTAGATGGGAGTCAAGGAGCTTCAGGAGAGGCAGAAACCATTTTTTTGTACCATTTTGCAATAGATATTGACACAACTTCTTCAGTATGAAACGCTCTTGAGCAGCTCGTCTGGAGCATCTTTAACCATGAGTTGTACATTACCTCTGATTAATGCGTGTAACACAAGGAAAAGTAGTCAGTGGAGATCTTGAGGGCCAAATTCAATGCTGCTTTTGTAAACTCGAGTAGTTTGTTTTACTGTACAGAAACAGATGTCCTGATTCTTTGTTGGACTGTAGGATTTGCTACTGGAATAATTTAGCATGTTGGCTTTGTTCAGAGATTTAGTATGCGGATATGTTATCCTATAAATCATGAAAAAACTAACGCAAGCTTAAAGGCAGAGCATCCTGAAACCGCCCCTGAAAAAATTGAGGCCGCAAAGGAGATGCTCGTGGTAAATGTACTGTCGCTGCTAACATGTTCCAGTTTTATGCTCAAGACATCCAAATCAAGAAGGTTGTACAGCTTCTTAGGGAATGCTCCCTTAAATTTTTCGTTGTGCAAGAATGTCCATCACTTGGGACTAGGTAGCGAACCACACCTCTTATTTTAATTGTATAGCAAAATTTATTGATGGGTTTGATTCACCCCATTTGACGTAACATCTTGGGCACCAATACGAGATTAAAGTCCCTAATAT